CGATCTAGCATTTACCAGCCCAATCCTGGCAGGAGCCAGCGGGTCCACGGCGTTAGCTGTCCGGGGAGCCACACACAGAGGCCGCAGGTTGCGCAGATTCACCCCGTGCCAGCGGGGACGAGGAGAGCAGGGGCCATGGGGCTGGAACACCTCATCCGGGCTGACGACAGGTACCAGCCAGGCGTCGACAGGGTCCAGCGAGTGCAGAGAAATAAAGAGGCGAGGCACCGCTCCATACTCAGTCCAAGAAGCCGTGGAAGTGCTCGCCAAACAGGCCTTCAGCCTTACCAGCCGACTGCTGCATTTACCCCGGCGGCGGTGGCGCTTACGCCAAAGAGGTGGAGCTGGGGTGTGGCAGAAGTGAGCTGGGAACCCCAATAGGAGCGGGGGCAAAGTTTTCCCGTCTTGTTGTTTCATTCATCCCCAAAACAAACACATGCGCGAGCCAGGTAAGCGTCTTTACGACAATAGGCGCTAGAGCTCATGGGAAATGTAGGCTTCATTCCAGCAAAACACTACCGCTTTTGTCCACAGGGTCACCAAAATCAACTCAAAATAAAAGTTCCTTGTAGGGGCTTTAAAGAGTATTCATGTCAAAATATACTTGAAGTACTTAAAGTAAAAGTACGTAAGTAGTAAGTAGTATTATGTAGAATGACTCACTGTAGAATCATATATTATTGGATTCTAAAAGTGATGCATTTATTTGCACATCACTTTAATGTAGCAGCTGGGAAATGTGGAGCTCATTTTAATTTGTTTATATACTGCTTGTTATCATTATTTGTTCATTTTTTGTAGGCCTATTATAATCTAAATCTGCACATTATCTAAGTGAAGTAATAAGCACAATATTTCCCTCTGAGATGTAGTGGAATAGAAGTATAAAGTAGCATAAATGGAGATACTAACGTAACGTACAAATATCTTAAAATTGTAATTTAGTACAGTACTTGAGTGGATGTATCTAATTATATTCCACCACTGGAAACCCATGACCTTCATTAATAATTTATTAACATTTACAACTGCACACAACTGCAACACATTCTCACTCCCAACTCATCAAATACCAACGCTTTATCAGTGGCCCTACACGTCACATTGTGACACTTTAGGTACCTCTCCAGGGTAAGTTTTGGATGGGACAGCGTGTCAATTCTCGCTCATTACATGCATAGTGTCCTTTTAAAATTAACTTTCTGTTCTGTTTTTCACAAGAAATGTTTAGTTTACAAAATAAACTTACAACATAGGTAAAAAAAACCAACATATTTTTTTAGGTTTACTTCATTAAGTTTAGGCAACAAAAGCATGTGGGTTTAGAAAAAAATATCGTGGTTTGACTAAAAATAAGTATGTGTGTTATCATCATAATGTAATATCACGTGGCATACGTCACATATGTCACTAGAAGCATGCTACACATACTAGCACACTGTGTTGTTATTAAAATAACTCAATTGCCTTTTGGTTTCACACTGAACATGGACAGCGGTGTCCCAGATGAAAGTGTACCATGTTTGACCCATCCACCTCACCCCCACCCACCCTATATGGACTTTCTTGCTCTTTATACTATGGCAGTTGCTTGCCGCATTAAAATAATCTCAGTGTGTCTCATTACTGCTGCTAAAGGGTGCTTCAGTGCGTCAGTATCTGGCACTGATGGCCACTGACCAAGCGTCGGTATTTGACGGGTTTGGAGTGAGACTGGGTTGATATGGAAAATAATTTATTTGAAGTCATGTTTGTATCCACTTGACATGACTTGATGACTGAAAGTCCACTATTTACTCTCCTTTAAACTCTGTTTTCTTTTTTGTCTCTATCAGCTGCTGAGAAAAATATCTGTTTCTTTAGCAACTAACTGCTCCACTATTTTCACCAGCTGTTCTCTAACTGTGTCTGTCTGCTGTTTGCTGCTGGCCAGGTAGTGTCTAGCAGGTTTATCAGAGCTTTTAGCTGAAAATAGCTGCCTGCTGTATCTGAAACGTGCTGATGAAAGTGCTGAGATCAAAACAGTAAAGTTGTGATCACCAAAACAATGAGCTGAGTGATGCTAAAATGCTCTGTAGAGTGGCAGAGGAACCACAGAGTGAAGTGATACCTCTCTGTGAGTTCACATTAATGTCGTCATGTGATCTATTGTTGATACAAGAATATTGATTATAGCTGCGGTGGAGCCAAATGGTGGCCAGTAACCATGGCTACCCCAGACTGTAACCTGGCCTGGTTAAGCTTGTTAATCTATTGGAGGTTTATTAAAAAAAATAGTGCATTAATAAGATGATCCTTATTTAGTCACTTTAGTCACTGTTGCCTGAGTGACCCAAAATAATGAAAATTTGGCCTTCATACAATGCAGTAAAAACTAGGAAGATCCTGATTTCTGTGCCACCCCAACAGTGACACCCCCAAAGGGGGCCTCCCTGATACAATCGCTAACCTCCCACTGTCTCATGGCAAAAATAATTGGAGGCCAACATAACTGTCTTTAAGAGGCTGTGGTGTGTTTTTTAAAGCTAGGGTAAAGGAAACTAGACAGCCTGAGGTATCAACTGGTACCAACCATGTTGGCATAGCTTTTTGGGAAAGCAGGCTAAATAATGCTCCTAAGTTAGGCTAAATTTTGGCAAGGGAACAACTTCAGAGGGGTCCTTTGAAGTGCCACTTCAAGGTATCTGAATGAAAATGGGCTCTATGGGTACCCATGAGTCTTCTTTTAAAGTTGAGAGGGCTTATTCCCAGTAAACATTTTGTTTCTTACAGTAATGGACAAAAAGACAACCAGCCTATTTAAAGAACAATGAATCACCTAACATGGTTCTGTGGCATTAGTCTAGCACATCATATAGTTATTAATTTAACTGTAAAAAAAAAAAAAAAAAAAAAAGGAACCAAAGTAGGGTGTTGTGCCACCCCAAGATTTTCAGTGGCCCCATCTGGCCACCCCTGTGAAAAATTTCTATGGGCGCTACTGCACGTCAAACTAAATATTGACTTCAGTCTGGCTCCCTGGAGTCAGATATACACAAGCCACAACCTGGCAACCTAAACATCTGCCAGTTTCAAAGAAGAGATATTTAGGTGACAGGAAATCAAGGTGATGAGTATTGTTACGTAAGTTTGTTCTCACTGACGATGAGAGAAACAGATCGGTTACCTTCATTATCTAATAATAATAATAAATATTTTTTGATTAATTGAATTATGTTTAGTCTATGAAAGGTCAAACATAGTAAAAAGATGCTCACCATAGTTCCCCAGAGCTTAAAGCACTATTTTCGAATCGCCTTTTTTGTCTGACTGAGTGTCCAAAACCCAAAGATTTTTAATTCATAGTGTTATATGGCAAAAAAAGATAAGAAAATGTTCACATTTGAGAACCCGGCACCAGCTTCCAAATTCAGCAATTTCATTATTTTCTTATTTATTATATTGTATTTGCCTGTTACTGGACAGGATTACTGTTCACTCAGTTTATATCTGTTTTCTTTTGTTTTTAAAATGCGAGCATGTATCTCCTTGAGGGGTCATCATGGAATAAAGATCTGTCTTAAAACAATATATAAATACAGACTTAAAGAAATATATAAATACATCCTATAAAAATAAAAAACAACCATTAGTTCCATTATGGTATGGCATCAGTGGCATCCAATATGGTAAATGTACAGAGCCAGGTCATTAATCGTCAACCTGTTTATCAATAAATTGTTTAAGTCATTTTTCAAGCGACCATTCTCTGGTTCTACCTTCTTCATTGGGAGGATTGTTTATGACTCTTTGTCATATATGATAGTTTGCTGAATATATCTTAGGGTTTTGGACTGCTAGTCAGACAAGGCAAGCAATTTGAGTACGTCAACTTGGGTTTTGGGGAATGGGTTAACGCTAAAACCTCTGGTGAACAAAAAGATTTACATGAGATACTTTGTGCAATCAATATAAGACTAATTCTCTGCCCTGCTCTATTTGATAAGCTCTTTTTTTGTTTGTTTTTATAATTCTATATTTTTTTGTATTTGCTGACATTTATAGAGCAGACAGTTCATCCATCAGTTGAGAAAATAATTTGCCTAACTCGGCCCAGTCAACAGAGAAAATGTTGCCATTGTACATTTCTGCAAACCAAGAATAGGTTACATTTTTACGTTGTGTACATATCATATCCACATTTATTATGTGACGTGGTATATGAACTGACTTTGTCGGATGGTGGGTGGTGTGACACCTGGCATAGCTACGCCTACCAAACAGCAGACCACTGTTTGCGACCAACAAACAACAAAACCAGTTGTCTCTTAGTGTCCTGTCACTAGATTTCAAGCAGCTTTTTAGTCACAAAACGTGGGTGTTTATTAGTGATATGTTGCTATTTTTTCATCAGGGATTGTGCCACAAGAAGCAATTGTTTTTATTGAAACATCAACAGCTTGGTAATGTTTTGAGCCCAAACATGATCTTTTCCTCACCATAACCAAGTGGTTTTTGTGCCTCAACCTAACCACAGCATTGTTGAAATATAAAGTTTCAAAAAATTTGCTACATACTAACACACACAAGGTATCTGTGGTTTGCAGAAACATACAATGCCAACATTTTTCTGGTCATTAGGTTGCCTAACTGCATTATCAAAGGTCAGATGTCAAAGGTCAGCCAGCATCCACCACAACACTTCACTGCTGCACGGTATTTGCAAAACAAGCGAGATTATATTTAAATATCTTTATCAAGAAATGTAGGCTACATTAAATATAAGTGTAAGAGGAGGTGGGAAATGTTTTTCCATCAAGCCTCCATTACTTCTATGAAAGCATTATGTCTAATTCAGCATGGTGAGTCTAAATGACCCCTGGAGTCAGAGCATGGCCTCTGGGGAGATGAGAGGGGTCATCATGGAGAGGGAGAAGTGATATAATGTTAGTGTGTTATAAAAAGAGAGAGGGGGGGAGAGAGAGAGAGAAATAGAGAGCGAGAGAGGGATGGACCGTGGCCAATGATCTGCAAGCAGAACAACTAAAGTAGAGACAGAGAGGAGATTTCATGTACTCTCCACAGGCCGAAAATGCGATCATGTCACAGAGGATGAGCGGAGATACAAAGCCGGATATGAAGCAAGAGGTGATGAAGAGCAGCCAGGTGGTTTAGTCCATTTATTCATTTTATTCATTAGTCCGGGTCATTTCATAGATGCGCTAGCGGGTGGTACAGGCCATCAGCAAGCTTTAGATCATAGCCCGAAACACCTTTTGTCCTGAATATGACATCAAAAGCCGAGATCCTGCAATAGCGGAGGCTGAGGAGGAACCGGATTGACGGGACGCATGAATTAAACAATCAGCGGTACCTCACGTTTCTCCCCCCTTAATGTGCTCAAACGGAGGTGTGTGGAGGAGAGAGCGAACCGAGCCCGCAGCCGATGCCCGGAGAAAACAGCAGCCTGTGTGCAGGCAGCTGTGGACGACAGGAAGGTGGTACCCAAGTGTCGGTGTTTATTATCTGGGATCTGACTCCGGAGGCGCGTCGCTGAGGCATGGGCTGCGCTCCCAGTATCCACGTCTCTCAGAGCGGGGTGATCTACTGCCGAGACTCAGACGAATCCAACTCCCCCCACCAGACCACCACCATCTCTCAGGGCACCGCGGCCACGCTACACGGGCTCTTCATCAAGACCGATGCGGCCGAGACCATCCCCTCCGTCATCACCTACCAGAGCCGCCACTCGCGCAACAACTCGTGCCGGGATCGCAAGGAGAACAGCGGGGGACACATCCGCATCGAGGCCGAGACGCAGACCAGCCACACCAGCGTCAAGGTACAGTACAGCTGTGTGCTGCCACAGTCACAGCATCATCACCGGGTCGTGAGTGGAAATCACACGTGAGGAGGCCTATTGGTTTGTTTGTTTGTTGTTACCGGAGGAGGCCCGAGCCTTCTGATCCGGTGTGTTGTATTACACTTCTAATGACTGTTCATTCAGTCTCCTCTCATTCACTGGCTTTATCATCCCTCTCTGCAGCCAGCCATCAGTGTGGACCGGTGATGATAATTTAATCTATTACATATAATATGACAGTGATCTGATACCAGCACTGTTACTGTGCTACTCACACTGATCCAACACTTGAGGCATGTGATAAATGACAGCTGGGTTAACAGAATGAATCTTTTATTAACAAAAATGCTTTGCAGTTAGACATGGAGCTGACTTATTTGACTATAAAGAAAACAACAGATGTATGCCCAGTTAAACACCAGCAGGATTTTGCCATTTCTTTATTTAAAGAGGACAAAACACTTTCACCTTCCCATTTAGCATTTATTAGCACCATATTAAGAATTAATAAATGGTTTATAACACACTAGGTAGTTGTAAGCAGATATGGAGAAAAAGTGTCAACAATCGTAACTTTTCATATGAACAGGGGCATAGCATTTGTCTTAACGTTGTGGGGGGGGTCACATATGAAATGGGGGAACAAAAATATTAATAGACACTTTCCTGCTTAAAACTACCCCAGAAAGCCATCGGACTCAGCCCATTTGCAGCCCAGTGTTGGCTGATTTGGCTTTGTTCTGGCTCCATGGTGCAAAATGTGAGCCAGCTTTGGCCCATTTGCTTTTGCCAAATGTGGCCCAGATTTAGCTGTTACAGACATGGGCCTTTTCTGGCTGCTATGAATGCTCAGTATGGGGTGTAACAGTCAAGTTTTAACATCAAAACTTGTTTAAAAAATGAGCTTTAAAACTTGCTGGAAGTACTTGGTGAAATTGTCCCAGAAATCCCAGCCCTGCATTTCTCCGAACTGTCATATATAATGTGTGCTCTAACAAAACCTTGTGTAAGTACAGCCCTGCAGCCACAAGGCAAAGATCCTCAGAGGCAGAATACATTGTCAGATGAGCAAAAATGTGCATCCAATTGGTTCGTTCTTAAGCAGCAAAGCACAGAGAGAGTGTGCCTCAAAGGGCCAAGAGTCAAAGGATCATCTATGTCTTGACAACTTGTGTTCCTCCCTTAAATTCAGTTTACCACACTGGCCATTATATGTCATTGACGACTCTGCTTCAAAGCTAAAAGTGAACAAACTGGGAGACATTGTCCAATTCGCCATGGGAGACGCCATGTGTAATAAGCTGTTAAGCTACTAAATAAATCATTAGGTCATAAAGTGAAAAATAAGTTTGTTATTTAGTTCATCACATTCATCATAGGAGATGCTACATGTAAATAGCTTTTACTTAATAAGCTACAAAGCAAAAGATACATTGTTTTACCAAAACAAAAAGAAAATTCAAAACTTTTACCCACATCTCAAGGTCTTCCTCAGTGGAAAACATTAGTCATGATAAATGAGCTATCTGCATGATAAAAAACTTCTGAAAAGCTAATAACGGGACCTTGAGTTAAGATTTTTTTTGTCTTGTCAAGGAAAATTCAAGAATGAACTTTCACACGCAAAAATCCTGTTGACACAGGCAGATGCTTTTAACTTAATAAACCATTAATAAGTATTAACAAGTTGAAAATGACACATAATGTCTGTCTTGCTTGGCAGTTTTCATTCAGTGTTTGTGGAGTCTGTACTTTGGTTGAACGAGGTTAAGCTTGTGGAGTTGTGTACATGTCTTGTCATATTATTTGTGTGCTTTTACTTGCTGATGGATCCTTCTCATGAGGGAGCATGTGAACAGATACTTGTTCATATTTATGATTGAACCCCAGAGGATATAGCTGTGTTTTCCTAAGAAGTAGTGTAGCAGATGATCGTGTCATCAGACCCTAAAAGTATTAACCCATTCAGGCCTAGATTTACAAAATAAAATGGACATATTTTATGGTTAACCTTCTATTTTTGTGTGATTTGATTTTGATAAACTATACATTTGGTCCCTTTTGGCATTATTTGACATTTGTTGATCATTTTTGATAAAATATTTTGTAATTAATACATTTTTAGACTGATGTTTTAACCTTTTAGAGTCTTTTGCAGTCCCATGCTCTTTATTTCTCACATTTCATTAATTTATGACATAAACTTGTCTCCTTTGGTCCTAATATGGAAGAAAATTGGCACAATATGAGTCACTGGATTGAATGAAAATATTTAGTCTTGTAGGATGCTTCTCATCAGCAGTTAAAATAAATAATTTATTAATATTTACATCCAGCAATTTGATACCTTTCTGTAGATTTGTGTCATTAGTTTAGGGTGGCACATAAAGGGGGTGTGTGTGTGTGTGTGTGTGTGTGTGTGTGTGTGTGCCGGTTTGTCAGCTCTTCCTTTGCTCTTCCTCACTTCCCCTCTGTCTCTAAGGACTAAGAAAGGATCAATGATACCATTTATTATTGAAACCATTTGTCTTTCCCCGCAGGATCTTAATAATCTGCCATGGTGGGGATCACGCTCCTGTGTGTGTTAGTGTGTATTATGTGTGCATGTTTATATGCACAAGTCATTTGTTTACCCCTCTGGTCATGGGTGTGAACAGTCGCATGTGAAGGAGCTGGTGCTGGTGGCCTGTACAGAGATCCCCTCAGGGCCTCTGACACAGTCCCTGACTTATGAGAATATACAGAGAGAGCATGAATTGGTACTTTTCTCAGCGGTGGAGTTGCGACCACCTCTCATCTAGAGGTACAAAAGTTCAGTGATCATTAACAGTACAGCTTCTGTGTTTCGAAAAAGAAATGAACCAAACTACCCCTAGAGACCGCAGCTCTTCTACCCCGACAATAGCTTGATAGAAAGTGTCTTCATAGGCTTTATTTATTTTTGCAAACAAATTTACATAATTTAGAAAAGAAAAGTAACGTGACAAAATACAAAAGAATATGAAATATCAGGTCAGTAACAAATGGCAGAACAAAAACATTACTGTGCGTTCACACCAAAAGCTGCCAGAGCTGCAAAATAGCTGAATTCGGTCTAGCAGCGCCGCTGTTAAAATATTTGTGGCAGCGAAAGCAGCTCAAGTCGCTCATGACGTCAAATTCTGAATGTTCAGTTATGCTTCTCAATTTAAATGAGCCCCAAAGAAGGTTACTGGACACTGAAAACAGGACAAAAAGTCTAAATAGGTCTGATATTAAACATTAAACACACACAGCCTGTGTTGCTTTCAGGCGTTGTCACGTAAATAACAAATTCCAGTACTTGAATACACCGTAGCACAACACAGCAGCATGTCAAGAAGGCCGAACCTGAACCGAATATGAGCAACATTTTTTTATTTGCTATTCCCCCCCAAAGCTGTAAACCTAGGGGAAACACTGTCAGTGGTTTGGGTTCGAGTGCCTACAATGCGATTAGTAAAACTAGTGGTAAGGGGAGCAAATTAATTGCATTCCCGCTAATAACAAGTGTTCCAGAACACAAAGAAATTGTATAAGTACATGCGCTTGTCCACACTTGTGTATCGATTCAACATGGAAGAAGACACTCTTGTAATTTGTGCTGGCGTGTGGTACCTGCTTGGATATAGCCGCCGTCAGGTCTGGGTTCACGGTATCCTCCGGGGCCGTGAACAGCAGCTGGTGCAGGAGCTGCGGCTGGATGGGGAGAGGTTCAAGCGCTACTTCAGACTGAACATATCAGTTTGACAGCTTGCTTCTCGTTTTGAAGTAGGAAGGAATATGTGGTAGGAACTAAAAGTTTCCGAGGATGTTCTCTGGGTTCCACACATGCGATGGACTTCTACTTTTCAATTGGTGCCTGGTCATTTGCAGCTCAAACACATCATAGCTAATTTGCATTAAGTTAACCAGTCTTTAACTTGTGTGAATGTACAGTTAGTTAGTAGAAATCTGGTTTGAGATGCAGTTTACATTAACAAGTTTACAGATCTTAACATATAGTTAAAGAATAGGGATAATACAGTATGAGTTAACAATAACAAACTCCTTGAGAAAAATATGTTGATTCAAGCACACGTCTGGAAAGAAAAACCTGTGTTCTGAGGTCTGTACTACGAAGCAGGATTTAGAGTTAGCAAGGTAACTTGAGGGTTAACTCCAGGTTGTTAGTACTACACAGCTGGTTTACTTTTTATTGCCTTTATTAGATAGTAAAGTCTAGCATGAAATGGGAGAGAGGGGATGACATGCAAAAAAGGGCAGGAGTCGGAAACAAAGCAACAGCCGCTGTGCCAAGGACATAGCCTTTGTATATGCGGTGCTCGCTCTACCAGGTGAGCTAGTGAGCACCCTGCTGGTTCACTTTTTACCAGGATAAATCATCATGGTAACTTTTGCTTAACAGCTGACCTGGTCCAGAGCAGGTTAACTTAACAGGGTTCCATGGTCATGAAAAACATGGAAAAGCCATGGAATTTCACAAATATGTTTTCCAGAATGTCATAGAATTTGTAAAAATAATTGAAAGTTTTGTAAAAATCATGGAATTTTGTTGTGTGTAATGAAATTGTTACAGTAGTCGTCTATGGATAACCTTCCACCTGAAGGGCTTAATGTAATGTTAACATCTGGTCGCGAGAGATTTGCAACATTTCCAGTTTTGAGAGTCAGGACTCTGGTTCATGAATGGAATCCGTTGGTGTGTGGTGCACTTTTTTATCCAAATCGTTTAATTCATCTTTGCATGTCATTGAGATCTCACTTTTTCGAAACAGCTATTAAGATCTGAAGAATCTTTTAGTGTGAGGCAGTCTTAAGCAGACATTTATCACACAAAAGAAAGAGTTAATTTTCAAAACGCTCTCCAGAGTGGAACAATTTTAACCTGTTACCATGTAGATGAGGGGAAAAAGAGCTTTTGGATAACATTGTTGATGTCTTCTTACATGGAAGCTGTA